GAAGGTGTGATGCCAGAACAACTATTTTCTACATAAACAGTCTATCTGATAGCCGGCAAATTCAAATACAAAATAGCCACTAGAACTGACATTTTTAGGTAAAGTTTCCCGACTATTACTCCTTGACTCGCCTTATGCAAACGAAAGTGAGTGTAGCTCTTACTGAGAATATCGAAACCCATTGCTGATAACTATACAAAATTATATAATAATTATGTCCTTATACAAGTAATAATACAATATAGGAAAAGTGTGGCCTGCATTTGAATGTACTCGAATTAAGTAGGCTTTGGAAGTACTAGTCGATTTCGCATATTTACTGCATTACTCACAAGTAGTAAGTTGAATTTTCCCGCAGTCACATGATTAGGACTCATAAAACTAGTTATGTCCTCTTGACCTGGTCGCCCAAAGTTATTCTCGTCAATGATGGACTTCAGTTACGAGTCTGTCTGAGCCGGTATCGACATGATAGTCAACAGGATCCACCGAGAAATGGGACAAGGAGGTGTAGGAGTAACATGCTGGAACCGCACGCTGTACTGCCTGGCCTAGAGACCCTCTGGAGTTGTGGGTGTGACCGATTCGAAACTGCTGTCCCCCACCCCACCCCTCGGGAGAGAATCGAACTAAAATTCGTTGGTTTCGTAAGGACTACTCATGCCATTATGAGTATGTTAATCTTTCTTTCCTCAGGCAGTTCAACGTAAATACAGCGCTTTGCCTTAAAAGCCACGTCTATACTATGACCAACAATGAAAAGAACATCCTGAACCCTTTCAGACACAGGCGAGATGGGAAAACACCCTTTTTAGTCATTGCATCACCTGAAGCAGCCTAGTCTGACTAAACTTTTTAGTTAAGAAATGCAGAACCTCTCGAAAACAATGTGTCAATTAGAAAAGCCTGTTTTGTGGAACAAGCGGGAGGCGATGCAATGATGGCTGGGTTGGGATACCACTTGGAGGGAAGACTTGGTGACATTACAAAAGGGTCACCTACATCGGCGAGTCTGAGTTCCGCCAGATGAGAGTACAACTCTGCAACCAACTTTTCGAACCGCCAGGCTTCTCGACGTATCGAGACGGACTCGACGTCTCGACTGATCTTCTGCAGATCGACATCGGCCAAAACGTCCGGAGCTCCATTCGTCTCGTAGAGACCAAGCGTTGGGCTGGACAACGAGTCCGGGACCAACTGATCGGGAGGCTGAAATGGCG